AAGTATGGCTTCTTAGTCAGCATTTGTAACCAACAAAAAATGTAATCGTGGAAGGGAAAAATCAAGATGTACTACAGGTGGGAAATTCCCCTCAATCTGTCAGTGCAGTTGTCTACTGAAAGCACAGAATGGCAGCACCACAAGGGGGCGCAAGTTACTTCCAAGTCTCCAGAGGAGGTAACACAGATTGGTAGAAGGAAGCTATGTGTAGTACTGAAAGTTTGGACTGTGATTATACTGTAATAATTGTTACTTCTATGTACAAACATAGTGCAGGCTGCAGTCAGTACCTTCTTCATACCCAACTTTAAAAGTGTGCAAACTGGATGGTGACAGATTTTCTTTAAATAGAAACGGGGAGGGAAATATAATAGGCTGAAAATACACAACTGTATTGATAAAATAGATTCACCACACTGAGAAGTCATTCATATTTCCTGATAGTAACTTGAAAGTGACTTTGTCTGAAGCTGAAGCATGAGAGTATAGTTCAGTCTCCAGACTTGTTCAGTCTTTAGACTTGCTCTTGAAGTTGGGGTAATTTGCCATGCACCAAAGTGCACGTGGCATGGGCATTCCCCAGGGACATGTAGCGGTGGCGCAAGGTGCACCACCGCTACTTGTCCCTGGGGAACCAAACATCTGTGCACTTCTGAACGCACCCATTGAGTCTGTGATGTACCAGAGCCTTTTCTGTAGTGCTGCCATCCAGCCTGGGGTCACCCATTTTCTATTGCTATTTTTGATTATTCTTCCCAAAGTGTAGCACCCTGCATTTGTCAGCTTTGAACTTCATACTTTAGCTCCAGCCCAGCTTTCCAATCTGTTTCAAAAGGGCAGCAGCTGTTACAGTCTGATTGTTACCCGTGTGCAAGCCAGGAACCGTACAAATGTACCAAAGCTGCTCCAACTTTTAACTGTCTCATGCACTGTAAAATATGAGTAGTTTTGGTATACAATATTTGTATCATTTCATATTTGTCCACAGGTAACAATTGGAATGTAACATCTGCTGCCCTTTTAAAACTGTTCCAGATGTACATGCATCCATACCCTTAGTTAGGCTCCTGACACACGTTCATTTAATGGTATAATGAGATCTGATCTCCAATCCCAACAGTTGTACCGCTTGCCATGCCACATGTGCATAGCAGGAAGTGTGATTTTTGGGGATTAGGGATCAGATCCCAATCTTGCCGTTACTATTTGCCAGTGCAGGAAGAGCCTGGGATTGTGATCCTAGGCTTCCCCTGTACCAGCAAGTTGAAAGCTGGGTGCCTGCAGGCCCCAGCAGGATTGACAGACAACAGTTGTTTGTCAGCCCTGGCCAGGACAGCAGGGGTCTGGGTTTGAGATCTGGGGCTGCCCAGCTGTGTGACCACTTTTAAAGGTCTAGGGCACAGTGAGCCCAAGATCAGGAAGGTGTTCTGTGATGTCAGGCTCATGCCTGTTTCCCCACTTCCCCCTCCTCCCACCCCATTCCCATCCCCAGAATCTGTCTTCAGGGATTGGGCAGGGGTACTGGGTCCAGGACCCAACAGTGCCTCAGCCTGATCCCACAGATCGGGTAGAGGACAGTTGTGTCCTGGACCCTGGAACTACACCATGCTGGATCATTATATTCAACTGTCATGGGACATCCCCAGCATGTTGCACGTTCAATTTAAAGTGCGATACCAATAAGCCAGAAAGATGTTGCACAGTATATGTGGAATAACTTTGTGACTTGTTTGCTATATTATCACACCATAAATAGACTTGAATGTGTGTCAGGGTTAATGTTTACATCTTAATCATAGCATGAATGTAATGTGTAATTCACTCAAATTACCGGACAGCCATCTAGTTAAGATAGCTTTCATATATTACTAATCAAAATTGAATTAGAATCGCAGATTTAGCAGTTAAAGATTAATGAGTGTGTATGTCTCATTCTTTAGTTTTTTTTATAGTTCAGTATTTGTAACCTGAGTTTTACATTTTGTCATACAGCAAGCATTAGACATTACCTAACAGGCGGATGAGCTGTTAAGATAAGATACTGGGGATTTTTTCCTACATAAATCACTGATTTAATAGTGTGCCTAACTTAGCCAAGAGTGGTGTTTTGCTAAAGAGAGATTTCAAATCTTCAGTACAGGCTTTGACTAGAAATCCTTGTTGCTAGCACATGCTGGTGTTTATTCATAGTGAGGGATTGTTTCATTTTTCAATAAAACACTTTAATTGAATTCAAACTAGTTTCTTTATATTTATATATATTAATATTGCCTGTTCAGACTGAAGTATGTCTGATCGTGTAAATTTAAGTATGCTGTGCTTTATCACTATTTTGGGGTAGGATAGCTCCAAGTATATGAAAGTGGAAGCCATAAAATTGAAGGTTTCAAGCTTTTACCTTACCTAGTACAAAACAAGTACTAGAAAATACTATAAGGTTATGCTACAAGCATCATTTCTGAGCTGTAAAGCTGAGTTACTGACCTCCTGTGGCCATTAAGGATATTATTGCTTTTCAGAGGGTTAAATGGTGTTAGCTCCAATATCTTGTCTGAATTTCAATCTGGGTACCTGCATTCCGTTTGCCCTAATTCTTTTTTGTTTGAACAAAATGCAGGGTAGCTTAACATGACTAACTACCTCTCTCAACAGAACACAGTCATTGTCTTTATTTTCTAACCTAAGCTGTCGTGCAGTTTTACTGCATGTTATTCACTGCCACCCACTTGCATCTTAGAGATGAATTGTGTTGGTGTTGGGTGTTTTTTAATTGTTTTAGGTTCTTTTAGCATTATGTAAAGGAAAAATCTTGTAAAGTAAAACAACAGGGAAAAGTGTGTATGTTTTCCCTTAGGTCCCTGATAGAATCTAAACTCAATGTAAAATCACCTTTCTGATAATTAAAAAAGCAGTATTTTCTTTTGCAGTGTTAGGTAAAGAATATTTGTTGAATTAATTTAATGTGCCAGTCTGGATGGCAGCCAAGTAAAAAGTTGTAACAGTTGCACTAAGTAAAGTGCTTTTGTTCCATATCAAATATTCCTCCAGGGCGTAAAAGCAGTTGGATCTTACTGATTTTTAAATGATTTATTTTAAAATGGCTTTCCTTTCTCAGCCTTCGATCACAGTAAAAATGATAAGATTTTAGATAAGCAGTAATGTAGACATCTAATGGATACTGACCCCCCCCCGAGCAATTATCTTCTGTGATATTACAAACTGTGGCTCTGATCCAGCAAAGAATTACATGAGTGCTTTTCTTTATGCGTGAATAGTGCATTTGACTTCCACTGAGTCCTATTGATTTTTGTATTCAGCATTTAGTTAATTATGACTACTGCTGGAACTCTTCCTTCCTTTCAAATTAATGCCAATTAACATTTGAAATGATATTTTTTTCAGAAATATAAGCACTGTGACTTCGTTATAAAGGAAGAAAATATTTGGCAGTTAGTTAAGAATCAGACACCTAGTTTTACTCGCAACTTTCTTCTGTTGTCATATGGAAACATTAAGTATATAGCCCTGCTTAACCTTTTGCCTAAACTTTATTAGCCCCAAGAACAACATACCTAGCTTTCTTGACTACTTTTAATAATGGCTGCTTACAGATGTGGAACACCCCCCCCCCTCCCCCCCAAACAGTGCTTTACTTTAAGCTTGGCATGTCCCCGCACCAAGCGCAGCGCATGCCCAAAAGAGGCATTATGTTTGTTTTACCCAGCTCACCCAATGTCTTAACAGATCACGTGTTTCAGTGAGGCTTTTTGGTGCTTTTGTCTAATAGCTGATTGAATCCTTTGATTGAGTCAGCTATTAGGTAAAAGTGTGAAAAAGCCCTACTGAAGTGTGCAATCTACACAGCCACTGGGGATCCAGGTTGAACTAACGCGCTTCCTCTTCCGCTAAAGCACTGTTTGTGTTTTGTTTTGGTTTTTTTCATGTCTATCAGCAGCCAGTGTATTGTGGAAGGAAGTCTGTGGTAAAGGCATGGGTTTACAACAATAATGAACTTTTGTTTACATGCAGTCTTAGAGCTTTCAATCAATAGATCTCAGAGCTTTGCAAGTAGAGGTAACTCTTTGAATAAAGAGGTAAAGTGCCCAACATCACATTACAAGGCAGTGGCAGAGCCAGGAATAGACACCAGGTCTCTTGAGGCCAAGGCTAGTGCAAAATTGCTTTCCTGTTTGATGCCTTGTATTGTCAGTTTTATTATGTGACCTCAGAAAGTCACTTGATCTTTCTGTGTCTTAGTAGTCTCAGTATCCTGTCTGTAAAATGTAAACAGTTCTATTTCCTTGCTTCCACTTTTGTCTGCCCTTTTCAGTAGGGGTTTGTTTCTGTCCATGTACACTGTGTTGGTTAAATTTTCGTCAAAGCAGAAAGTAGCATTCCTCAGTGTGATCCCACAACACTTGGATGTCATTCAGATGTAGACATGTGAAAAACTGTGGGGCAGGGTTCGTGCAAGTGAGCGTAACATTTGTATAGTTAATTTTGGTAGGAAGTACTTGCTGCCAAACAATTATAGAAGAATCCAGTTTGAAAATTGCATGTCATTCTTTTTTATACTGCAGTCATCAAGCAGGCGGCAGCATCCTTTAAATAAGCATCTTTTCAAACCTTCAACTTTCATGACCTCCCATGAACCTCCAGTTTATATGGATGAGGATGATGACCGATCAAGTTTTCACAGCCATATGGATGCTGCAACAGAGGAGGAAATATCGGTATGGTGTTTCAGATTATCACAAAGGATCTCTCACTGTCTTTCTTCATTGTATTTAATGAATGATATTTGAAATAAGATTTCCTGTTGTAAATATATAGTGTTGAGTGTATCTTAAATTGTTGAGCGTTCTAAGTAATCATTCAACAATAGTAAGTCAGGTGGAGCTGCAGCTTCAATTGCAGACACCTCTTTTGAATAAGGACTCAAGCTCAGAAAAATCAGAGAAAGACCAAACCAAAAAGGGAAACATTGGAGAGGATTAAGCAACAAAGAGGAAAAAAAAAAACCCAACACCACCCTAGGGAATTCAAACAGCTTCTGAAAACTTGTATTTGTGCATTCACATCTGTAAAAGATATTTGGAGGGTTCGTCTACACAAGACACTAACTGTGCAGTAGCCTAGTAACACTGGGCAGTAGTGTGCTGGGAAAAAAACATGCTAATATGCTACTGCACAGTAGTATTAGGCTGCTGTGCAGTAAGTGTCACTAAAAACCTATGTACCAGCGCTACTGCACAATAGCATGAGTTACTCCGCGTTGATTTAGTACTTAGTTAACCAAGTACTAAACTTAATGTGCAGTAACTACAGTGCAAGTATAAACATGTAGATGATGGATCTGTTTTGAAAACCACATGACCTGTTTCTGGATAAAGACCTGATGAAGCAAAAGTAGTGAAAAGCTTTCAGCATTTCTTGATATAATTACATCCTGCATGAAGCAAGAATTTTTGCCTCCGTTTGCAAACCAGACTAAGGTTTTTGAGTCTTTTAGGCCATGAGCTCGCAGACCTGATTGTTTGGCTCAGGCAATAGAAGCCCATGCAGAGGCAGGGTTCCCCACATATGACCCAGGTAGGGCATCATTATACAAGCTATTGGGTAGGTGTCTGGGTTTGCAGTTGGAAAGTACAAAGAAATTCCAGTATATTTCCACACTTCTTTCCATACAGTAAGAACTGCTGAGGATGCGGGCACAGGTCCTCATCTTGTTTAAGTCAGCGATGCTTCACTGAAGTCAGATGCAGGCTAAGGCCTAGGGATTTTATCCTTGTGAGAATGGGAAAGCCTTACTACTCAAAAGCTTGACATGTAACAAGATAATGAGGCCTCTCGATTAATTGGTTAATTTTCCTCAGACTGGCACTGCATGGGTATATTACTCTTAAATAGTTTAATGCTTGTGGATTCGTTGTTTGGTCCGGCTCCAAATGTTGTCCTCAGATATGTTGTCTTCTCCCTCTGCTTGTGTTTTGAGCTCTCTTACCTCCTTTCCTTCTTTACAGGCATAAGTTGTTATATTCCAGTCTAAATGCTGAGAAGATTCCAAGTGTTTTTTTTTAAATAAATATTTATAAAATGTCAGTTTGCATCTCTTCATCTTGAAAGAGCTATTTGTTCTGTATCACTTCATTTCATATACATTTGTAGTTTTCTAAATATTTGTGGGGTGGGTTTTGTTTTTTTTTACATTTCCCCTGGAGGCTACAGTTCTGATGGGTTTTAATGTGCCCACATTTCACCAGTAGTGTTTCTTTTCATGTTGCTACTATTGCTGCAGTGCCCTAGGGTACCTTGAGATTCTTTCAAGGGCAGTGCAGGATGTCTTGCAGTGTTAGTATTGTTAGGTGTGAAAGCATGATTCAGAAGATAAACCCAGAGATTTCAAATAGGAATCCATAGTGATAAAAGCATTCTGACCTGCCTTGCTCTTTGAGTTCTTTGTAACAGAAGAATTGTTCTCTTATTTGTCTGTAGTCAAAAAATTGGTGAAAGCTAAGAGCTGACATCTTTCCAAGGGGTGTCTTTGGCCTAATGAGTCTAAAAGGGTTAGAAACCACTGTTGTAACCTCCTCTTCCTTCACCTAGTGCAGGATTTCCAGAGAGTTATGTTTCTGGCTTACAGTATTGTAGAACGATGCAGGTGTGAGCTCAGTTAACAGGTAAATCTCCATTGTCAATGCAACACAACTGAATTGGGTGAGGAAAGGTTTCTAACTCCATTTTCAAAGTACTTGATTTGGTTTCAATTTTTAAAGGTCTTTTGGTGACAATTGTGAGTCCATAAAATGATTTTATACGGAAAAAAGCCAGACTTCAATGAAGCAGAAAGTAATTGAACGGTCCTTTTAATTCTTTATTATGGAGGCACCAGTGGCCACTTAATTAAGGTCAACACCTTATCCATGTGGTGGAAACTGCCTGGAATAATTTCTCCTATGTGGACATTACTCAAAAAAAAGATTTTATTTTGTAATACTGTATTTACCTAAATCCCAAACAAATTCACATTTAAGATGATCCCCCCCAATAATTAGGTTTTTCACATGGAAAATTTATAAATCGGTTTTAATTTTCCATGTGTAGAATCTAATCATTGGAGGATTCATCTTAAATTCCCCCTGGGGAAAGCAGTGATGGGGCAGGCGTGGTGGGGAGGCCGCAGAGGATTCAAACAGCCTGACCCACACCCCTTGCTCCCCTGTACCTTAGTTCCTGCTGCATGTCCCTTCCCCACTTGCCATTTCTTCCGCCCCCCCTCCCCCCCGTGCTTGTGCCCCCTGGTGCCTACTTGCCCTGCTCCCCTCCCACCTTCTTTTGGTCCCTGCTCTGCTTACCCTGGATCATAGCTGTGTCCATCTGCAGCCCTGCTGTGGCCGGAGGCACAGAGCACATGCTGACTCTGGCCCCCAGCTGGCCAGACAGCAGCAGCCCCAGCTCTAGAGTCAAAGCCAGGCTCAGGGCCAAGGCTGGTGCTGCTGCTGTTTCCCGGGTTGGCAGGAGCCAGAGCCAGCATGTGCTCCCTTCCCCGGGCTGGGACAGAGCCAGAGGGACATAACTCAGGGTAAGGGGAGTGAGTGGGTTGGGGGCAGCAGAGGAGATGGTGGGGGGCAGAGGCTGTTGCAGGGGAAGATAGAGCTGGAGCCTCAGCAACTGCCTGTTGCTGATTGAATGGGGAAAAAGAAACCCTTGTCTTGGATTTGGGTAAATATGGTAATTACTTCACATTGTGAGTGAGGTGATGATTTTGGCATGGGGACACACATTTCAGAGTAGTATGTCCATATGGGAGCAACTTTTTTTTACAGAACAGCTGATTCCAGAGTGGGTTTATTTTCCTGTATACAAGCTCTGAAATGAGTTTTGCAGGGATTCAGCCTCAAGGATGCAGGGATATTCAGCCTCACGACTACATATGAGATGTACAGTATTGTCTTCAGTACCTCTACATTCCACTAGAAAAATATTACTAGTTTTCTGAGAGCTTAGAAGTAAATCCATTAAAATGGGTCCTTTCAGTATTTTAGCGTAATCATTTAATAATCCATAATAATTTAATGACAGTTCAGTTTACGAGTTGTGACAAACAACAGCAAAATTAACATTAATCCTAATGTTTTCCGAAAGATGGGGGACATAGGAGACCAGCAAGGAAATATGGGGAAATCCAGGTGCATATGTATAAGGTGTCACTTCCAAGGGCTTCAGAAATATCTCTCCTATACTTATGCTTTAGGTCAGAAAATGAAATAATTTAATACAGGAGCTTTCTTAAGCATAAAAGTAGGATGAAACCTCTTTCAAAAAAACACTGACAAAATATGTAATCAGCAAAAGATGCAATCTAGGGATTATTTTGCGGGGGGTGGGGGGAGAGGAGAATAAAGACACAGGCACAGAAAGAAGAAATATACTGCTAATTTCTGCTTTCATATATCACTTGTATTTCACCAACAATATTACCTTACCTTTTTTGACAAGGAATATAGCTGAAATAAAAAATATTTTGGCTTCAAATTTTAGTTTAGTGGCTCTGACCTGTGGAGTCATTTCACAGAGCCCAAGGGGCACCTAAAGGGGCTGGGAATTTGAGGATAGGACCCACCACTGAAATCCCAGCATACTTCCAGGGGCTTCAAAAATGCCTCTCCTACACTTATGCTCTAGGTCAGAAAATGAGACCAGGAGCTTTAATGCTAGATTTCAGTAAAAAATTTCCAGTTAAAAGTTTGCTTCTCTTGGCACCGGGTATTTCAAAGTGTTGGCATTTTCCAAACGTTCTTAACATGTAGGAAGTTTTGTGGAGTTATTTATTTCATTTCAATTTTTAATTCTCAAACATTTTAATTCCTATTACCAGAAATTGACAAATAAAGCAACAGGCTTTGGCTTAATAGAAATTCACCCTTTTTTTTTCCATGTGTCAGTTTGCAGAAAATGTCTGTAAATTGAGGGTCAGAATCGCCTATGTCCCTGGGCTGAATCTAGCCCTCAGGCTTCCTTGTAGTCCAGATTGGGACCTGGTGGTGGTAGCAGAGTGAGTGGAGGTGTGTCAGGGTTAAGACAGCCGTTGCACAACGAGGCAATGGCATAGCTGGGATTTTGGCGGCGGGCGCTGCCCCTAAATTCCTGGCCCCTTGGGCTGAGTGAAATGACTCCACAGGTCAGAGCCATTAAACTAAAATTTGAATCCAAAATATTTTTTATTTCAGTATTGCTTGTCATAAAGGTAAGGTAATACATTGTTGGTGAAATACAAGTGATATATGAAAGTAGAAATTAACTGTATATTTCTTTGTTTCTGTACCTGTGTATTTATCCCCCAAGATAATTCCTAGATTGCACATTTTACTGAGCATATTTTGTTAGTGTTTTTTTGGAAAGAGATTTCATCATATTTTTATGCTTAAGAAAATTAGGTCTTTCCAGTAGTATATCTGCAAAGTTAATTCATTTGTTTTTTCTTTTTTGAACAGGATGAGGAGAGCATCCCACTAACATATAGAGAGTTACCGGAATACAAAGAACTGCTAGAATTAAAAAAATTAAAAAAACATAAACTCCAACAGATGCATGCAGAAAGTGGATTTGTGCAGCATGTAGGCTTTAAGGTAAGACCTTTTCCAATTAATGTGAGTTTTTATTAGCCTATCAGGCAGTGGTTTTCATAGGAAAGAGACTTTCTTTTTCAATCTGATAGTTTCCAATTTTTTTAACATAGTAACTTCTTTGCCATTAACAGTGGCAGGACACTGGCAGTGTACTTTTAATCCTATCTTTCTTTTTTTCTTTGACTAGCTGTGTGGTGTGTTTGGTTTTGTTTCATGCGATGCGTTGAGTCTCTGAAGTGTGAGAGAGTCCAGAGTGGATGCTTGCTAGGGCTCTGTGAGTAAATGATTGCTACTGAATGTCAGGAACTGGATTCAGGGCCTGATGTCCCTTCCAACTACAGTGGGGGCAGGGGGCATGTGGACTCCATTTCTGTGGCCCCCAGCCACTTAAAAGTTGGACTGCCTTAGGTTAGAGAATGAAACCAATTCCCAGTTAACAGCAGCAGTTTTTAAAGCAATAGAGAAGTCAGTCTGTCAGGCATTTATTCCTCGGAAGGAAGAAAAGCTAGCAATACTGAATGATAATGGAACAGGTGGTGGTGTCAGGATCTTGCTGCAGAGAAAAATACCAGCTACAGGCAATGCTTGAAGGAAGGATTGAGGCAAAGAAATAAAAGGAGGCTTATATGAAATAAGGACAGTCATCTTCACTAATAAAGATGTTGTGTTCTTAGTGCGACCCATCTATAGGTAGTACTGAGGAGGAGGGAATTATGACAGTACATACTGTAGCTTGGGAGGGATATTTATAATGAGCAGTCATCTTTTGTGTAGCTGCTTTTCATGTCTGGGGTATTCCAGGAATTTTCTTGGCTCATTATAGATGGGGCAGACCTGTTGGACTCTTTGCTATTGGTTTTTCCTTTGAGCCCGTAAGGTCATCCATTCCAAAGAGAGTGACTGGAGACCCTGAACTGCTAGATCAGTACCATAGTGACACTGATAGAGCAGAGCTCTGGTATGCAGATTTGAGGCTCTTTGGAAGTGTTATTGTCATTGTCACTCAGAACATGAGATTTTGTACAGCAGGAATATGATTCTATAAAATGAATTATTTTCTCCTATTTGAAACTGCACACAAAATATTACACTGATAAAAATATTATCAGCATTTCAAAGTCCAGCACTCAAAGCTAGCAAAGGCCAGAAAGAAGGTTGCTTTGTTGCCTTAATTTGGACCTATGGTTGTGTGTGTGCACACATGTAAACACAAACGTGTGATGATACATCTATAACTAGGATCAAATACTGTTTTTCCCCAGCACTCCTGCCTCGTTCAGGCTGTGTTGTACTCACTTGAAGCAGCTATTCAAAATTTTACTTCATTCACATTGCTCAGTATGTTGCCCTCAGCCTCACTTCCAGTACACTATTCAAACCTGGCTCTGCCTACAAAACAGTTTATTCCCTCCTATGTTTGTCTTATGCTCATCCCTACAAACATTGAGAGCACTTTACAACCAATAGCTAATCTATTTCACAGCACCATTTCTGGATTCAAGAGTGCTTGTATTTCCATTTTCCAGATGGGGAACTGAGGCACAGAGAAATTAAATTTAAAAAATTCACTACCTTTAGACACCCAGCTTGACATGACTTGTGGGATCTTGTGTTTCAGAATACTTGGCACTGTATAATAGAGGTGCATCGATACATCGATCCCATATCGGATCAACACCGATATAAGGAAAATGGACTCTATCGACAATAGGCTTTTCTTGGCTGATGTGGCTGATAATGCCACTGATAAATGCCCCGTGCATGTGCGCAGCTTCAGCACAGCTGCTGCACACACCCCAGGAGGGCATGGAGGGCATGTGCTCCCGGATCTGCACGCAGGGCGAGGGCAGGCTGCTGCTGTGGGCTGGCGTGGCGCTGGGCTTTCCCTGGCAGGGGCTGGGCCAGGCTGCACTTGGGGTGGGCAGTGGTGGTGCTGGGAGAGGGGGCTTGGAGTGGGCTACAGCGAATGTTGGGGCTAGCCACCCCCCCCGTTGGGGCCTTTCCCCGCTAGCCACCTTCTAGTGCTGCCACCGCCTGCCCTGAGCACAGCTTGGCCCAGTGCCACCCCAGCTTGCAGTGGCAGTCCACTGTCCCCTATGTACAGATCCAGGAGCATGTGCTCCCCATGCCTCCTGGGGGCGCATAGTGGTAGGAGCCCCCACTCCCGCTCTGTCCTGGCTATGCAGCTCCTGCCCCACTTCCCCCCTCACTGCGGTGGCCTCGATTTTGCCCACCCCACGTCCCTTCCCTCCCCCCTTGCCCCTTCTCCACAGCAGACTTACCAGCTAGACACCGCTCTCCATGCTGCCCGGCTGCGTATCAGAATTGGATTAGTATTGGCCAATATGGCTCGTTAAAAATCAGCCTTTGCTATTGGTCAAAAAATTCTCTATCGGTGCACCCCTACTCTAATACTGCTTCATATAAGCAAAACATAAGTTCCTTTTGATTTCCATTACTGTTGAGTGTATTTCTCACATCTACAGATTGGAGCACCTGGGCTTAAGGTAGGCATCCAGGAAATGAGGAACATGCATCTGTTGACTGCTTGTGAAAAATCTGTTTGAAGTGGCTTAGCATCATACAAGCTATGGCAGAGAGGGAATCTAGATCTCCCAGGCAACATTTGGTTTAAGTGTCTGGCCATTTTCTTCCACTCCACTCAGGTCATACCTTTCAACTTCTGCAGCAAGTGAAGTAGGGTTCCAGCAGATAGCATCCCTTTTTTCAGCCCAGTCTCATAGACAGAGCAGGTCTGTGCTGTATGCTGAGTTGCAGTAATACTATCTGTGTAGACCAGCACTACTAGGGAGTGACAGTGGATTTCATACATATTTGCTACCAGCAGACTAATGGTTAGGCTTAGAAATGTTGAGATCCTGTTCAGGCCTTGGCTAAGTACAGATGGTCAAAAAGTCTGAGGCTGAATCTATTCAATCTTTGCAGGTTAGTCTAAACTGCATAGATTGAACCAATAAGCAAGGGAACAGACATTCACTTTTGTTTCTGAAAATGCAGCCACATACCTGCAGTGGCTGAGGGTGCTAGAGCACACCTCCCTACTCAGCTGGAGCATTCAGCTTGGGCCAAGGCTAGCCTACCCACCCTGCGGTGGGGTGGGGGAGGTGCGAAGCATCCTGGGATACTGGAGAACTGTGAGTTAACTTGAATCTTGAGGGGATGTCAGACAGAAATTCAATAAACTGAGTTAACTTAAATTAGCCTGATACTATATTCAGCCCAGTTTGTCTTAAACTGGTTTCAGCCATTTTGAAAGTGGTTTATGTGCACCAAATTTCTGTTGTGTTACAGATGTGAGCCGGTTTCTGATCACTTATCATGGTTTCTGTGTAAATTCTGTCCCTAGCCCTAGTGGGTACAAGCCTCTTATGCCCTCAGCTGGCTTCCTTCCATCATGTCTCTTTCAGTAGGTTGCCTTCCAAGTTCTGGATCTTCCCCACTGTGGCTTCTTCCTTGTCTACCCAGCTTCAGTCTCCATTCATCAGGCTTCTCAATCAAGTTTTCTTGTCCAGCTTAGTCCTAATTCTCTCCTCCTGGCTTCTTGTCCGATTGGGCCTCTGTGCTTGTGCGCACATACACATGCATACACTTTTTCTCGGTTTCAGTCTGCCCTTTCAAACTCCTCTCGTCTTGATTCCTGCCTCCCACCCCCAACTCTACTTTCTCCTGGATCATCATTTTAATCGTATCTTGTACCTGTTCCCTTCTCAGTTTTTCCCTTTGCATGCTTAGTAGACGCAGGCTGGTTTCTTAGCCCCTTGTAGTCTCTCCTCGTACCTAGTTTACATCTGATCTTGGTGTACTTCCCACATAGCCAACTATCTTCTAGTCCCCATTTCTCCCATCCCTGCACAGCTCCTAGTCCTCAGCTGCCTAGCACTAGGTTTTGTACCACAGTTCCTGTAGCAGCCTCCCCATCCTTTGCCATTCAGGTTATCTTCTTACTCAAAACCAGTTACAGTTTCCCGTCCAACTCATAGGCACCATTTCTTCTCCCTGTCCAGTCTCTCTCTCCAGGCTCTTTGTTCCAATCTCCTCCTTCCCTTCACCCTAGATTAGCTTTTGTCCCTTCTGAATTCACAGTAGTTTTCGTCCTCCTTTGCTCTACCTGCATGCCAGCACGGGGGTCATTGAGAACAAGAGAGAGACAGGTTTCCTGTTGTTAGTTTGTGTACCAAGCCAGCAACAGCTCTTACAGGGAACGTCTGGGTTCCCACTGTAGCTCTGGGCTACATGATCAGCTAATTGTGGTGCATCTGTACCGAAGTTGGCATTTGGCATTGTAAGACCTGGATAAATGCTCAGTGAGGAAGAAGTCCTCAGAGATTAAACTAGTCAAGTTGGGGAAGTCTTTGGAGCATATGGGAAGTGTGATTTTTTTTTTTTTTTTTTTTTTTTTTTTTTTGATATGGGAAGTGTTTTTTTTTTTTTTTTTTTTTTTTTTTTTTTTTTCCTTAAGGGCCTATTTCCCTAAAATGGCCACATTTCAGCAGGTTTTCTCAACAGTGGCAGGGATATTCACACACCACTTTCCTGCCAAATTTCAAGACCTGGTTCCAAAGTATGGGAGTAGAACTGTTCAAAGAAAAGGTCTGAAGAATATTTTAGCAGGCAAAAAACATACTTTGCTTAGCCTTGTTCTTGGAATCAGATGTGCTGTTTTGGCTGAAATTTTCCAGAAAAAAAAAATCAAGCTTACTCAGACATCTGGTTTAGGAAATTTCAGCCCAAGTTATCAGCATCCCCCAATGGGAAGTGTCATAACTTTCGTAATAGGTGTTGCTGCCCACCCCTGATGTATAGTAAGTTATACTTACAAAACATGAAAATGCTGTAATGGAATAACTGAAAATACTCTCTCTTATCCTTATCAGTGGTCTGGTTTATAAGGGGCTGATGTCTAATATATTACGATGTGTAATATGTTATGGAAACTGGATTCAACTTCAGGCATTTCCGATCATAGGGCTTAGCCTTAGAGAAGAGATATCATGCCTCATCCTCGAGTTACACTGATTTGCTTGTACTACTTTGCAGTAATTCCTTTGGCCAGTTTAGAACTGGTGTGTCGCAGATGGATATATGTTCAGCTCTTCTTAACCAGAAGGATGATAACTTCAAGATAAAGCTTTGAGGGAGCAATGTGGGGGGTGGTGAGGAAATGGTTCTCTCTCGAGCTCAGGGTAAAGCATATGCATTGTCTTTGAGTGCAGTGCATTGCTCTAAATGAAAATGTAGCTTTTAAGTTGCATATTAAAAGTTTCTTTTTACAGTGCCCTTTTGTTCTCTATATTTCACAGTGTGATAACTGCGGCATTGAACCTATTCAAGGTGTTCGATGGCACTGCCAGGATTGCCCTCAAGAAATGTCCTTGGATTTCTGTGATTCTTGTTCAGACTGGTGAGCTGCAATCATTGATCCTTATTATATGTAATTTACTTGAATTCCTGCTTAAGGTGTAATTGCTAAATAAAGTCATTGTATATATTGGACTATTCCTGGATTAATCAACGATTCATCTCCATAGTAAGAGGTGACTGCAGTATAACTGTGACATGTCCCTGTTGGGCATGTTTTATGCTTCCTTATGACATGAAAGTAGTTTTATACTGGTCAGTTTTAGGGAATGCATGTACTGTATTATTAAAACCTAAGCTGTGTAATAGCAGTGATTCTAAATTTGACATGTATCTAGGAGTGGTTTTTTTAAAATTTATTTACTGTTCTGGAAGTGAAAAACACGGACATAATTATTTGATTTGATGAATAATTTTGTTTTGTTTTCTTTTCTCTTCTTTTCTTTTCAGTCTACATGAAACAGAGATTCACAAAGAAGATCACCAGTTAGAACCTATTTACAGAGCTGAGACATTTTTAGACAGAGACTACTGCATGTCGCAAGGAACAAGTTACAATTACCTTGACCCAAACTACTTTCCAGCAAATAGATGACATGGGAAGCAGACTTACAATGTGGGGCTTACTATCTTTGAAAAATAACAATGGCGCCATTGTTAATTCCGTGCACATTTTGGAAAGACTCTGCTTTCCCTGAAATGTCACTCACAGCATGACAGCTTCCTGGGTGTACTTGTCAAACTACAGCTTTGAACTGTCATGGTTCTAGATCACTGAACAGCAGCTGAACATTCCTAGTGTGCAGAAGGTTTCATTGGGAGACTTTCGTTTCACCACATTAGTTATTTTTAGGTGGTGAATCTAAACAAAAAATAAATACAAAAAGGTGAGCCAGAAATGAGAGCACACATTAAAGCGAGAGTAAATTCCAAAGGCTTTGAAGAACTTGGTTATAATGAGATCCAGAGAAGATGAAGTATTTATATAAAATCAGTTTAGTAGCTTGCAGTTTTGTTGTGAAATAGTTTTCGGCACAGAAACTGACTATGTTAGGCAAGGTTTTAACCAATGACAGTGTTTGCTTGTAGGATATACTCTAAAAAAAAATACTCACTGTCCCAGTGATGGTTGGTTACAGGCCTTCATTAAATTGGAGCTGCTTAATCACATTGACTTTTTTTTTTTTTTTTTAACCACAATGAACTCTATTTACCAACAGTGAAGCACTACAGGAGGCAACTCTGGCATTGCTTCCTTAACCAGCTCATGGTGTGTGAATGTTATAAAATTGTCACTCAGATATATTTTTTAAATGTAATGTTATATAAGATGATCATGTGATGTGTACAAAATATGGTGAAAGTGCCAGTGGTAGTAACTGTGTAAAGTCTCTAATACTCAACATTAACTCCTTTAAAATAAAATACACAGCCTTCTGCCTCTGTATTTGGAGTTGTTAGTGCAACTCATCAAAGAAAACTGCCTACTATAAATCATATATATGGTAATTTTCCTCTTTTGTAGTCTGCACAAGATCCATGAAAGATTGTATTTTTATTACTATTTAAACAAGTGATTAAATTTAGCCTGAGCAGTGAGCAAGGGTTCACATGCATTCTTTTATACTGCTGGATTTTGTTGTGCATCATTTAAAACATTTTGTATGTTTCTTCTTATCTGTGTATACAGTATGTTCTTAAATAATGTTCAATTGTCAGGAGAACTGTGAGAAATAAAATATGTGGATACAGTCTGTTTATATATAGAATGCTTGCTGTGATTTCCTTTTTGTGTAGATTTTGACTTTTTAACCGACATTAACAATAGAAAAAAGTACGTTTATAATAGGTCATACGAATATTTAAAAGGCTCAACCACGCAAAGGTACTCAGTGCCCTCAACTACTTTTAATTCAATAGGAGTTGAAGGTACTTTGCTCCTAATAGACTGTGCTCAGCCTCTTGTAGGATTAGGTCCTCAGTTTCTTGTATGTTATACCATACTGTCATCCCCCTGTGTTCACTCCTGATTAAAGGAAGACATTTTAGCAACTTCAGTGAACTGTATTAGTCTAAGGATGTACTGATGTCTGAGGAGCTTTGTAATTATTGTGATATACTTTTAGCTAATATATCTTTTTTAATGAAATGTATAGCTTGTGATTCAGAAACAGTGATCATTTTTTAACTGTAATAGATTTCCACTCGCACACAGACTTGAATTCCAGAGCAGTTAGAATACAGAAGGAACACATTAGCTGAAAAGTATGGCAATAAGAACGTTAATTGGTGGGTTGCATTTGATAATAATTTTACTTGTAGCTTGATTACAGTGTTACTTTTCATAATTTATCTAGGTGTAACCATTTTTTGTTTCAGAGAAAAAGTTTAAGCACTTAATATATTAGTAGATAATATAGCACAGTTACTAAAACACTGAGTGATGTAATACATCATCTGTAAGCATCTCATATACTTTGAGAAATTTAATAAACCTAAAGAAATATAATATAAAAATTCACCAGATGTATTTCACTTTTTAATGACAAACAAAATAGATTTGTTGTGAGACAGACACTCTTCTGTAAAAGCACAGAAGAGATCACCGTTCTCCAGAAGTCGCTCCCTTGGTAAAGAAGCAGCTTTTTGGAGCAGTGAATACCAGAGACAAAATCTGTGGTGGTATCCTTGTTTTCTGATGAGCTTTTAACATGTTCCAATTGATCATAATTCTTGAATGAAAAAAATTATATCACATGTGTATGTAGTTTTTGTTACATTAATAAGCTTGAAGGGGACTAACTAAAATTGTAATTGACTTCTAGAATTAAAAATTGACAATTGACTTTTGCCACTCTTCTTTGGAAATGGAAACAATCCATTCCATAAATTTGAATGATCATTCTAATCAGAAATAGCCCATAAAATTACTGGAAATATCTAGATGTGGTTCTGCTCAGAATAATTCGTATCCTCATGATTATTTCAGACTATTTTAATTAATGGAGAAATAGCATAAGAGAATTGGCACTGGTGCAAGCTGAAAGGATCTTTGAATGGATGGAGATTGGTTGCATTCTGAATATAACTTTCTTTTTTCAAAAAGTGGTTTGTTAGACATTGAACTAACTAGCAGAGTATGATGTCTGTCTGTCTAGCATTTTGCTTGGTGTCAGCAGTAAAGGTTAATTTGTGTATAAAAAACAAACAAAAAACAAAACCCACAAAAAAAAAAATCAAGAAAGCAAGGGCATCCACAATTAAAAGACGAGAGCAAGTCTAAAGCTGTCTTTAGTAAATATTTGAACCATTCACTGTAGTAGAAGTAAAACGAAAACAGGAGAACCTTCTCTGAGTAAAAAAATCATGTTTGTTTAACTTATTAATTTGATTTATTATACTTTACAGCAATATGTTTTATTGTACTTTCAGCTAAACTAAACTTATATGCACTGCAACAAAATACTTCTCTTTATGTTTGTCCATTCATTTTATTTTGTATTATGTCTTCATTACAAGAAAAGTAACTTCAAAAATACAAATCTGTCCCATAAATACTCATTTAAAGTACAACTGTTGACAGAAAGATGAGTCATGCAATCACTTCTAACTGTGGACTAGTCCAGTGGTCTAGTAGGAAGATGCAATTACTTCACAAAAATGTCAAATAAGCTTTTATTTGGCTGTCTGTGGCATAAAAAATATTTTAACTAAATGGATGTAAAATAGGGTTTCACATAATTTTGTGCAGATATTTTGGAAAAGTGGGTTGTTAAATATAGGATATGTTGCGAGTTGCACAATCCACGACGTTTTTTCTCTGTCTCTTTTTATTGTATATATTTTTGGCCTATCACTTTCAAGCTTTGGCAATGCCGCTAAAAGACAACAGATGATGATCTGCAACTGAACTTTGTGCTTGAAATACTTCCAGAGTATGATTTAATGATTTAATTGCTTAACTTTCGTACATTCTGGCTATTAATCAATATCTAATTTTTCACAATGAAAACTACCGTTATTAGCATGGAAATCATCTGCTTGCACTTTGAATTGCACCAGTATTTTCAGTCACTGTATTTACTGCCCCCCTCCACTGCCACACGCATATAATTAGAAAATCATTGTTACAATGTGCTGAAAACTAACAGCAAGGCAAAGCTTTTTTTAGTTATTATGTCTGCTCCATGGCAACGGATGGACAGACCTGTACAGTATTAGCTAATTTCTTCACATTCAGTTTGTTTTTTGCTCACTGCATTTACAGTATTTTTGGGAAGTGTCAAAAGTGTGTTCAGTTTCATAGCTCTATAAATTATTTTGACAAATTACAGGTATGTTCCGGCATTAAGCAAAATGGCAAGGAATAAATTCAACAACTATGAATTAAGAACAAGCTAAGTGTTAGCACAGAAATGAAAAGCACTAATTAATTAAGGGGGAAAAAGGGATGAGTATTGTTATGTAACAACCCTCCAGTTTCATGTGGCAACTGACTTGGTTAAGTTGAAGGAGCTCAACATTAACTGCAACACCTCTGATTATAGTCAAATACATGAAGGCGTGAATATAAACTGGACCTGCTGTTCACCATGCTGTTTTAAACCTGTGAAGTGCAAACAAGTTGATAAACAATATACAGTACTTTGTATTGTTTTAGCATAGATACCATTTTATATTTAGTGTACTGTATACATATGGATAAAATAAAGCCTTCGAAATCACATTAAATAGCACATGCACTAATTCCAGATACCTCTCATAACAGCAGGTATTGCTTTGAACAGCATTTTAGTCAGAACTGTCAAGTGCACATGTGAAATGAAATGCTGTACACCATTACTGTATTTCTGCTGAAAAAGAAGAGGCTGCTTCTTCCTTTTTCAGAAGAAGATCAACCGCTGTGCAGGCTTGAAGAAAAACCTCCTCTGGTGTTCCTTCGGCATTTATCTATTAAAAGAACATTAGAAAGTATGTTAGGTGCCTGTTATGTGGTAAATAATTGATTTTTCCCCTGTAATCTTAGTAATTGGTTTTTAAAAAATCCCATATTCTAGATATTTGGTCTTGTAGTTTGATTTTTGTGCTGTCATAAGGTGCCTCAGAGGAAAAGCTACTGTGATGGCAGCTACTGGAAGTTCTGACACTGCTGGACCATTCAGTTCTTCCTGCAGAGTCCTTTGAAGTTTAAAATATCATAACATTTTTAATACAGTAAAAGGCCTGTTATCCAGCATTTTACTAACCGGCATTTCTATTAACTGGAACTTCTGGCAGGTTGATTGGTTGGACATGGGGGAGAGGGGGCAGGGGGAAGCTTGCTGCCACCCACTGCCCTGCGCTGTTTTCACTCTGTGTGTGGCCAGCACCACCCTTCCACTCCCCGCTGCACAAGCAGCTGCCGCTTCCCCTCTTCCCTTAGTGTCCAGCCAGAAACCCCTGTGCCTCAGGTAACCGGCATTTTTAGATTACTAGCACCCCCCCATTCCACATTCATGCCAGAAAACAGGGGTTTTACTGTATATAGAAAGGTTTCCACAGATCTTTTGGGGAATTCCTATTTTAACTTTTTTTTTTTTAACTTCCAAGCAACTTAATAAAATAACTCCACGTGATGATGGTAAGATAAAAAAAAAATAACACCAACTTGTTTACTGTTTTCTTCTCCTTTGAAGTGACACAGTTGATAATACTGGGTGTGTCTACACATGTGCATTAGCCCAATTTAAGGTGCATTAAGGGTGCGCATATACATGTGCGCAACCTTAATGTGCCTAAAAATGGTGATTTTTAGGGTAATTCTGCCTAAATTTGATATTTGCATAAATCAAGTATCAAATTTAGGCACGATTACTTAAAGCACATTAATGCACATGTAGATGCATTAATGTGCATTAATGCAGGGACTCTGGTGCTGGGTCTACCCAGCCATTAGGGAGCCAGCCAGAGTCCAGCCCCAGGGCTCCTGGCTGGCGGGCTGCCCCTCCTGTAGGGCTGGGCTGCTCTCTGGCAGTCCCTAGCTACAGACTATAAGCCTCCAGCACACAGCACAGGGAGCCTGGAGGAGTCAGCACTATCTGCAGGATCCCACGAGGCCCTGTGTGTTCCCCTGGACAGAGCTGCTCCTTGGCCACAGGTGAGTGTTGCAAAAGGCTGCGGCCTGGTGTGTCCTTTGCCCAGCCCTGAGATTCCTTCCAGGGCTCTGGGCCCTGCTCTTCCCAGCATCTGCTTCCTGCTGCTCCTCACCCCCAGCTTGGTTTCTTTGCAGGCACTGTAGTGAAGTACCTCTGCCTTGTGGCTCGCAGTTCCTGCCCATGCCCCTGTCTAGGGTGCTGCTGGCAGCCCTCTATGGCTGCATCACCAAGACAGCTGCATCGGGGCCCAGAGAGCATGTCCACCAGGTCATCCCCATTGAACCCTAGCTCTGCCTGCATGCCTATGTTCATCCTGAGTGCCTGGGCCCTCGACTGGACCCAGGAGAATGTGCAAGACCTCATAGTGCTCTGGGCAATTTGTACGGGGCAGTCACTCAAACACCCGCATTTGAGGCCATATCCAGCAGGATAAGTGCATGAGGCCACTCCTGGTTGGCAGTGCCACATGAAGGTCACAGTCTTGTAGGCACAGTGGGCGGCTGTGACCGCATTCAATCATTGGCCCAGTCATGGCAAAAAGACCATGCACTTCATGTGGAAGCTGACCTGCATTTTGATGCCCCACAAGATGGGCCCCACCCCTGCGAGTGCCACCAGTACAGGCAAGTTGCCCTCACCTGCTCCTCGCCCCAATGCTTCTGGTGATGTGTCGCCAAAGGAGGGGACATCAGGCCTTTAGTGCCCTGCCCCCCTCCCCGGCTGCTGCATCCACTGGCAGCTTGGGGACCCCTGCCCAGCAGCTGCCTCACCCTTGGCTCAGCCCCACAACCCCCAGAAGGACTGGGTGGCTATGCCACTGCTGGCCACCAGCTCCTCCCCAGGGCACAGCCCTGGCTGGGCACCGGCAGGCCGTGAACACTGGCCGCAACCAGATACCATTGTTGACAAGGAGCCCTGAGCTGAGCCACCAGCCTCGCCAGCCCTAGATATGTGGTAAGTCCTGCACTGGGGGATGGCTCAGCACCTTGGGCTGGGTAGCAGTGCAACGGAGCAGCTGGCCTGCAGGGAAGAGAGGTGTGGGTTCTGGAGCTGTGGCAGCAGGTGCTGCCAGCAGCCAGGCCTGGCCCACCCTGGGAAGGGGGCAGGGGAGGCTGGCCACCAGCCCTAGGGAGCAAGCAGGGCCAGGGGGCTCGGCTGGCAGCTGCCTGGGTCCAGCCCTGCCTGGACAGCTTACCATGGTCCCTAGGCGCTCACACACGGCCAGTCTCCAATCTGAGGCCGGGCAGCTAGGAGAACCTGGTGCAGAGCATCTTATCTCCGCAACGCTGCAAACTTGCACAAAAGGCTTCTGTCTCTTGCCTCTGCAGGGCCAACATCTGGATGTGGGGGAGAGGCTGTAGGGCCCTGCAGAAGTGCAGCATCAGAATTACTGCCACTCACTACTAGAGCTGCCCAGCTGTGTCAGCAACGCACCATGGACTGAACCCTCCTGCTCCAGCAGCTGGTGGCACTGGTAGAGAGCTGGACAGCACAGAAAAAGGGGCAGCAGCAGACGCAGGTGGTGTGGGAGTTGGCCTGGCAGAAGGAAGATGTCACCTGGGAGATTGCCTGGGAAGAGGCATGGGACTGGGTGCAGCAGGAGCACTAAGCCTGGCTGAAGGCCCTGGAGCAGTGCAGTGTGGAGCTCCTCCAACAGTAGCTAGCCAATGGAAACCACATTCAGGCTCCCCATGCCTCCCATGCCCAATCACATTCAGGCTCCGGCATGGCCCCACAGGGTCCCTGGGTCCAACCTGCTGCCCTGCAGCAGGACTCTGCCTGCGCCTTGGAGGAGGGCCTCCACCACCTCCTGCCCACAGGAGCCCCTGGCATTCACCATAGCCCCCTGAACCCTCAGGGGCACTGTCCATGGCCAGGGTACTGGCCGCCTGCCTCCATAGACACCTGTCAAAAAATGCTTAATGTGCATTAGCTTAATGCCCAGTAATTTTAAGCATGTTTAAATTCATTGCAGAGCCACTGGTGGGAATATTTGAAAGCTCATGGCGCACGGGCCAAGTCCCGGAGGACTGGAAAAGGGCCAACGTGGTCCCCATTTTCAAAAAGGGGAGGAAGGAGGACCCGGGCAACTATAGGCCAGTCAGTCTCACCTCCATCCTTGGCAAAGTCTTTGAAAAAATTATCAAGGCTCACATTTGTGGGAGCCCGGCAGGACAAATTATGATGAGGGGAAACTAGCACGGGTTCGTGGCAGGCAGATCGTGCCTGACCAATCTAGTTTCTTTTTATGACCAGGTTACGAAACGCCTGGACACAGGAGGAGGGGTGGATGTCGTATACTTAGACTTCAGGAAGGCCTTCGATACGGTATCCCACCCCATATTGGTGAACAAGTTAAGAGGCTGTGACTTGGATGACTACACAGTCCAGCGGGTGGCGAATTGGCTGGAGGGTCGCACCCAGAGAGTCGTGGTGGATGGGTCGGTTTTGACCTGGAAGGGTGTGGGAAGTGGGGTCCCGCAGGGTTCGGTCCTTGGACCGAGACTCTTTAATGTCTTCATCAGTGACTTGGACGAGGGAGTGAAATGTACTCTGTCCAAGTTTGCAGATGACACAAAGCTATGGGGAGAAGTGGACACGCCGGAGGGCAGGGAACAGCTGCAAGCAGACCTGGACAGGTTGGACAAGTGGGCAGAAAACAACAGAATGCAGTTCAACAAGGAGAAATGCAAAGTGCTGCACCTAGGGAGGAAAAATGTCCAGCACACCTACAGCCTAGGGAATGACCTGCTGGGTGGCACGGAAGTGGAAAGGGATCTTGGAGTCCTAGTGGACTCCAAGATGAACATGAGTCGGCAGTGTGACGAAGCCATCAAAAAAGCCAATGGCACTTTATCGTGCATCAGCAGATGCATGACGAATAGGTCCAAGGAGGTGATACTTCCCCTCTATCGGGCGCAGTTGGAGTACTGCGTGCAATTCTGGGCGCCGCACTTCAAGAGGGATGCGGATAACCTGCACAGAAGGGAATTGGTGAGGTTTTATTCACCAAGGTGCCCCCGGGGGTTACAAGAAATAAATGCCACAAGCTAGCAGAGAGCAGATTTAGACTGGACATTAGGAAGAACTTCTTCACAGTTCGAGTGGCCAGGGTCTGGAACGGGCTCCCAAGGGAGGTGGTGCTCTCCCCTACCCTGGGGGTCTTCAAGAGGAGGTTAGATGAGTATCTAGCTGGGGTCATCTGGACCCAGCTCTCTTTCCTGCTTATGCAGGGGGTCGGACTCGATGATCTATTGAGGCCCTTCCGACCCTAACATCTATGAATCTATATGCCCACTGTGACCTAATGGCCTCCAGGCAACAACTTCCAGCCCCTCTTGCCTATCTGGAATTTTTTTGTACTTCAAGCTTTGTGAATTTGTTCCAGTTCTCCATGAGCTTTGTGCAGCGTATGCTCTGCAGCGGGCCACTATGTTTGTTCTGTTCCATTGCTCACTTTCTGTAAAATAGACTATTGAGGTTTTTCCTTTGAGTTCTTCATCAATTCTGCCTTGATTGTAGTCTCTCTGGCTGTTCCAAACACTTTCAATAACTCGTTTCAACACAAACCAAAGATTTAAATTTCTTCACATGTTATGAAAGAGTTATCCATGTTTTTGCAGTGGAGAACAGATTTCCCAGCCAGTAAGTGTGCTGGGAATAATTTCAGAGACTTGTAACATACTAATTCAATCTGTACTTAGTAAAACTATATTTTATAGTATCTTGTATTTCTTCAGTGTCAATGAACTAGATACCTAATATAATTTATTACAGATAAATTTACTGTAACATAATCTGAGATCTGAACAAAAT